CCCCTTCCTGCCTCCAAAGTATTCTCAGTGCCTTTTGCCTTTTTTGTGTTCCTTTCTAGCTAAAGAAGCTGAGGCACTGGGTTCAAGTTTAGCCTTGGGCAACTTAGATCCTGTTCTAAAATAAAAGAGGGCTGGGTAAACAGAATGTCATTCCCTAGGTTCTAATTAAACACTGAAAAAAAGAAATTCTTGGTTAACTTGGTGTCATGTAGGTTGTCTTTGGAAGGTTGGCCATTGTTGCTAATTTGGCTTGATCCTTTTTAAGATGGGGGGGGGTCATCAGTGCACTTGTGGATCCCCACAGAGGCCAAAAGGGACCATCAGAATCTTTGATGCTGGTGTTACAGACAAGTGTGAGCCATCCTGTGCCTAGTGCTGGGATCTTATTGAGCCATAGGTGCTCTTGATCAAAGAGGCATCTTTCCTCCAGCCCCGTGAGTTTCATTTTTTTATGTTTTTAATTATATTACCTTTATAGAATGACATGTTTACTTGCATTTGTACTGTCCTTGGGAATTAGTTATATGGGTGTGTTTCTGTAATTTTTTTTTCTTTTTGTAGTATGGGGAATTGAACTCAGGACTTTGTAGACACTCTTCTATTGAGCCATGACCCCAGCTTGGACACTTGAACACTGTCCTGATAAAGTTCATTCGTGCATTCATTAGCTAAGCTGTTAAAAGAATGCATTTGCAGGTGCATTTATGAAGACTGTCTGGCTTTACTTTGCAGAATACTGAAAGTGCTTTGAGATGTTTTTCTTACTACCACGTAGTGCCTTTTTGACAGTTGGCTTGTGTTTTTTTGTTTTGTTTTGTTTTTCGAGACAGGGTTTCTCTGTATTGCTTTGGAGCCTGTCCTGGAACTAGCTCAGTAGACCAGGCTGGCCTCCAACAGAGATCCATCTGCCTCTGCCTCCCTAGTGCTGGGATTAAAGGCATGCACCACCAATGCTTGGCTTGGCCTGTTTTATTAAAATTGTTTTTTAGATCTCTTCTTAGTTGGTTTCAAATTCACTATGTAGCCCAGGCTGGCCTTGGACTCATGACCCTCCAGCATTCCACCTAGAACTGGGATTGATTATTATACATATTGTGACTGTCTTGGGTGGGCAGATTGACCCTTATACCCACTTAGTGTGATACAGTGTTTTTCACTTTTGTAAATGATAGTTTTAAGGTTTTTATTTTATTTTTCTTTAGTTTTCATTAATTTAAATATGTATGTGGAGCTTAGCTAGTCTCCCTTTGATGTCACCAATCTTACATTTTACGAGCAGGGCAACAGTTATGTCTGTCTTTGTGTTATGCTCATGGGTGAGTTCTTTGTATATAATAAACACAGGAGAGAATTGTAGGTTATTCTTTCAAGGCCCCATCTTAGCAGGCCAGCACCTACTCTTGATGTTTGTTAGTGACTAAGGCGATGTTCTTGGGGATCTTGCCTGAGAAGTGATAGGGTTTCATTGTTTTGTTTATTGTCCATCTGGTACTTCCTGGGAATTGCCAGTTCTGCTTTGATTATGTTCTGTGCTCTTCTGGAATTGTTCAGTCCTGTACTTTATAGGCAAGCGGGGTTGTTCTTTAGTGATTTTCTGTCTTTGGTGCTGGGGACTGAACCTTGCTCATGCCAAACATTGTCCTCACCACTGTAAATTCTGGGTAGTAACTTCTTATAGCATGTTGCTTAAAAAAGAAAAACAAAACAAAAAAACCTTGAAACTTTCACTTAAAGTAAGCTGTTGACATGCTATGTTTGATTTTTTTTTTTTTTTTTTTTTTTTAAAGCAGAATTATTGAAACTTTGGCTGTAGGTTGGCTAGCTCCTCTCATTGTTCCTACTCCCCATTTATCAGCAGCTAGAGGTCACTTGTCTGGTCTTTGGGGGAGGACCCTTAAGTGGCATTTGTTCATATCAGCAAAGATGTCGTGAGATCTAGCAATGTGAGGTCAAGTGAGAAGTTTTAGAAGTTTATGTAGAAGCTTGCAAGCCAGTCAGCCCAGCCAATAGGAAATGGATGCTAGTCAAGGAATCATTGATCTGTGTGTGTGGTATGTTACTGCCTTTTCTTTTGTGGCTCTGAGACTGACTCCAGGTCAATGCCAGAGGAGCACTTTACCTCCGACTCCCACCCCAGCAGCCCTGTGTGTTCTGTGATTGAGTTTCCTATGTTTAAAATAGATTCTTTCCCTTTCATTAGAATATAAACAGGCATCTACAATATAATGATAATTATAATAATAACAATGATAAAATAATAAAACCGGAATAGGACAAAACAGACTGGGAAAAAAGCACAAGAAACTAATACAGATGCTGAGATACACATTCACATGCACACATTCATTCACACACAGAAAACTCATAAAAACAAAGTCAGAAAACATATATATATATATGTATATATATATATATATATGCAAAGATCTGTAAGCTTAAAAAAAAGCATTGTGTAACCAAAAATACCATTGACTTTGTTTTGTGTTGGCCATCTACTGCTGGGCACAGGGACTGCCCTTACATGCAGTTATATAAAATGTTAATTAAAGAAAAATTCCCATTGTGAGTGGTTATCATCAGTTAAAGATAGTGTAGAGTTAGGGGTGGAGGCTTGTGTCCTCTTCCCTCTCAACACAGGCCCATATCTGGCCCTGTGCATGTGGCTACAGTCTCTAGTTCATATATGGGTTAGCTTTGTTGTGTCTGGAAGGCCTTGTTTCCTTGGTCTCTACTGGCTCTTACAATCCTTATACCTCATCCTCTGCAGGGTTCCCTGAGCCCTGAGGGGAGGTATTTGATGGAGACATGGCATTGAGGACTGAATGTTCTAAGGCCTCTCTGGGTATGATGTTGGCTGAGCAAGGGACTGATCTATGAATATAGCAGGATGTCATTAGGAGTCATTTTATTGCTATGTTCTTTTAGAAGAACTGTAGTATTTGGTTTTCCTCTAGGTCTATATCTTATCTGGTCCCCTGAACTGTGTCAGGCATCTCGCTGTTCATCTCAGGGAATGGGTCTTAATTCCAGTGGAGATTGCTTAATGTGAAGTTGGGGGCTGGCGAAATGGCTGGATGGTTCAGGGTGTTTGCTATTCTTGCAGAAGACCGGAGTTTGATCTCCATCATCCATATCAGGCCATTCGCAACCTCCAGAGGATTTGGGCCTCCTAGGGCACTGGCACATACAGTAATAAAAAAACATTGGAATGTTAAACTTTGTTAAGTGAAAAGGCTTATTTAACTTAACCTTAACCTTTTGCTTTTCTTTTATTTCATTTCACTTCTCTAAAGCATAACGATTAAAGGGTAGGATTCATATACTCTCCCCCAGGTGTTGTCCTCCTGGGAAAAAGTGTAAGAAGTAAGAGTGACCTCAAAGCGACCTATTGAGCTTGACCTACCTTAGGACAGGATGTCTGTGCTGCTTTCAGACTCTAGCCCTCCCAGGCTGCGGGGAGACTTGCTGTTTCCAGTCATCTAGCTGGCCTGTTTCCTGGTGCTGATCTTGGTAGCTTTATTGCTAGCCTGTTAGTTACATTGGGAATGGGGGCGGGGTGTGTGTCCATATTTGTAGCTATTTCTAAAAGCTCTTTGGAGAGGACACACTGTAACCAGAAGCTCTGGCTGAGTGAGGGGGAACCTTGGAGCCTCTGGCTTGTGTTTTCATAGTACTTCATGGTTTTTACAGGTTTGTATTCAGCCTCCATTTGTCACCATGGAATAGTAACTGGCAGGTTTGTTTCTAAAAAGAATCTGAATTGTTTTGTGTTGGGCAGAAACTGGGTGTTGATAGCTTGTTGAGGTCCAGCATTTGAGGCCAAAGCTGGAGGAAAATGAGTTCTGGGTCAGACAGATTGTCTATATATCTGCTTCAGAGAATTGAGAGTTGACTAGTTCGAGAGTGAGAGAAAAGCATTCTCTGGGGTTGCTGTGTTATTCATGCTTCATATCTGAGCTGGGAAAAAAGATGGATTAGTTGGATAGTAATTTAAAATGTAGACTACTTCAAACGCAATAACCCTTCTGCATCAGCCTCTCAAGAGCTGAGATGACAAGTATGAGCCACCATGGCCTTCTGTGATGTCTGAGAATCCCTGATGTTCAGTTATTGTGGTTTTTGTTTAATTTACTTTTTTTTTTTTTTTTTTTTTAAGGGAAGAGTGTTTGCCTTACCCCTGACTTGAGATAAGTCAGGGCACAGACTCAGTGGGAGCTAGATGTTTGCTCACAAGAGTGCTTTGGAGTGGGGTTCTAGTGCATTCCTTTGTGTTATACATGGGTTGTCAGTCTCACTTGAAGGAGAGATGAAGCATAGTATAGGTTGCAGGGTACTCCAGACCATTAATCCATATCTCAGTAGCTTTATGGATAGCATGGAGACTATTTTTAAGGAGGGAGTGGAGAATTTGAAAATCTGAAGACCATGGAGTCTATTATCTATTGTAGACAGACGGGGCAAATGTGTAGTCTGCTCTCCACCTTTGTGGTATTTGTTGACTGACTTATGATCAGAGTTTCTATTGTTGATTCTTTCACAGTTGAGCCTTCAAAGGGGTCACCTGGAGCTGCTCACAGTCAGTCCAGGCAGGGCTTCTCTGGTCACATCATCTACCAAGTTCCCAAGTTCATGTTGGTGAACCACACAGTTGAAGTAACAAAGACAAAATAACGGGACTGTAGAGCTGCTCAGTGGTTAAGAACACTTGGTGTTTGTTTTTTGTTTTTTGACAGGGTTTCTCAGTGGCTTTTGAGCCTGTCCCGGAACTAGCTCTTATTGACCAGGCTGATCTTGAACTCACAGAGATCCACCTGCCTCTGCCTCTCAAGTGCTGGGATTAAAGGCATGTGTCACCACCACCCAGCTACTTGGTCTTCTTGCAGAAGACCTGTATTCAATTCCTGTCATCCACATGCACTCGTGGCATACTTACATTAAAAATGTTTTAAATCAATAATTTTTGTTTTGTTTTGGTTGGGTCACATTCAGAATTGCCCTGATATCCCATTTGACTACCACATTTCCTCTTGATGATAGGTTTTTGTGGCTATGCTTATGGGGCAGATTAAAGGTGTCATGATCTGAAGAGTGAGGGCTTTCCAATGTCCTCCCTCTATATGAAACGGCTCAACAGTAAACCTGCTTATGACAGTGGGCACTGTTACATGTGGTAAAACTCAACGTTTGAGTAATGAACTTTTTTTAATATCTTTTTTTGGGGGGGGGATGGTTGAGACAATTTCTCTGTGTAGACCTGGCTATTCCATAATGCATTCTGTAGTTCAGGCTGGCTGTGAACTAAGATCCTGCCTGCCTCTGCCTCCTGAGTGCTGGAATTGAAAGGCTTGTGCCACTACTTCTCAGCTCCCTAATGTATATTTTAAACAGGGAGCAGTATGCTTTTTCAGTGAAAAACAATGTATACACAAAGATGTACTTGGAAATAATTGTCTGATAATGTTGCTAAGACACCCATGTCTTTCAAATTAGTGGACTAAATGGTGATTTCTTCTTTAATACATGGTAGAAACTGCTGTTACCCACACATCTTAAAGCAGAAATGGGCTGGAGAGAGGGCTCAGCAGTTAAGAGCACTGTCTGCTTTTCCATAGAACTGAGGTTTGATTCCCAGCACCCACGTGGCAGCTCACAACCATCCATAACTCTAGTTCTATGGCTTCATGTTTCCTTCTGACCTCCAAGGGCAGCAGGTGCACATATGGTACAGACACACATTCAGGAAAAACACTTGCTACTGTATACTTAACATAAAAAAATGCTGAAATAAAACTGATCCCCTTTTATACAGTAATTAGATTTGTATATGTTCTGTTTTGCTTGCATATTTGTATAATTTTATCTCTTAAATAAGGTGACTATCTGTTATAAGGTTTTTTTCTGGGGGAGATGTGGACAAATGTCTGTTTTTATGAGCTTGTTGGTAACTCCATCACCAATAGTTCTCATCCTAGACTGGGTGATGACACTCACAAAAGCTATATATCTCCACAAGGTGTACAGTTCCCAATCTTGTGAGTCCTGTATTGTTTTGGGAACTCCCTTGATTGAGACTTGTAAGTTGCTTTCCTTACTGAGCCTTGAATGTTCTGTAGTATTAAGGAACTCTAGGGGCTTTAGAGCTGCCATTTCTGTGGATTCTACACTTGATCTAGGAACTGTAGTTGAAAAAAAATGAACAGGATGTGGTGTTTCAGCCTGGAAGATTGCTACATGTACAAGGTCATGTCAGAGGATGTTGAGGATTTATAGGTATCTTTTTAAATAGAAGTATTAACTGTCAATCTCTGGTATTTTTGGTTTTAGTTAAAACGTATCTTATTAACTGCATGCTATTTGACTTTGATTACTTTTTTAAACAACAAACCAGTGAGAATGTTAATTTTTTATTTGTAGGAGTTAATTTGTTTTTGAGGGTTTATTTATTATGTATATAGTATTTCTGCCTGCATATATCCCCTGCAGGCCAGAAGAGGGCACCAGATCTCATTATAGATAGTTGTGAGACACCATGTTGTTGCTGGGAATTGGACTCAGGACCTCTGGAAGAGCAACCAGTACTCTTAACCACTGAGCCATCTCTCTACCCCTGGGGTTAAAATGTTTTTTTCTTTTGGTTTTGGTTTTGGTTTTTTGAGACAAGGTTTCTCTGTATTGCTTTGGAACCTGTCCTAGAACTAGCTCTATAGACCATGCTGGTCTCAAACTCACAGAGATCTGCCTGCTTCTGCCTTCCAAGTGCTGGGATTAGATGTATGCATTATCAGTGCCTGGCCTTAGGGGTTAAATCTTATAATTTTGGCTTTGCGCTTTATTCATTCATTTATTTACTTTTGTTTTTTTTAGAGCCAGGGTTTTGGAGTCTGTCCTGGAACTTACTCTGTAGACCAAACTAGCCTCAAACTTACAGGGATCCACTAGCCTTTGCTTCCTGAGTCCTGGGATTAAAGGCATTTGTCACCAATGCTATGTTTATTCCTTTTTAAACTTTGAGGTTACTAGGTGTAGTTGTTATCTTTACCAGTTGCATTTGGGAGACTGAGGCAGGCAAATCTCTGAGTTTGATTCCACTCTGGTCTACACAGTGAGTTTCAGAGTAGCTAGAGTGTAGCAGGGAGACTCCTAGGAATGCTGAAGCGATGCTGTATAATTCTTAGCATAGTGAGTCAGTCCTTTTCAAGCACTTACGATTGTTGACTGACATGTTTTGGTATTGTTTTACAGGTTGAATCGACCAAAGCGATGGTTATGGAGAAGCCTAGTCCCCTGCTGGTCGGGCGGGAGTTTGTGCGACAATACTACACCCTGCTAAACCAGGCCCCAGACATGCTGCACAGGTGTGTTCTCTCTCATGTGCCTTCATGTGTTGTGGGATGGTCCTTCATTCACATAATCACCTATAGAGAGAGGGTTAGACAGAAAGAGTATAAGGTCTTATCTGTAGCCCTGGCCTGACCCCCAGGTCTGTCTGCCTGTGCCTCCTGAGTGCTGGGATTTTAGTGCTGTAGTATAGAAAACTATGTGGACATAGCACAAACCCAAGCTGGAGCTGGAGGATGCTGTGTGCATATTTATCTTACTAATGTACTATTTCCTTTTCCTGCATTTTCCTTACCATTGAGGGTGTAGCAGAGAGGGGCCTGGTAGAGAGATGAGATTTTATGGTATATCTCACCCAGTTTCGAAGCCATGTCAGCCCTAAATGAACACACAGACTATATTAATTATGAAATGTTGGCCGATAACTAGAGCTTCTTATTTGGCTAGCTCTGTCTTCATTATTAGCCCATTTCTATTAATCTCTGTATTTCCATGTGGTCTTACCTTATCAGAGAAGAGTCCAGACCTCTTACCCCTTTGTGTTTTCACATGGCTCTCCTCTCTGCCTACACCTCCCAGAATTCTCTTTGTCTCTTAGCCCTGCCTATAGTCGTGCCTGACCAATCAGTGTTTTATTCATCAACCAATGAGAGAACCATATACAGAATAACATCTCCCATCAATGAGAGACTGAGTTTCTTTAAAAATGTGAAAAGTAGCAGCATGTTGTCTGGGGCATTGGCACACGTCTTTAATCCCAGCACTCAGGAGGCAGAGGCAGGTGGATCTCTGAGTTGAATCCAGTCTGGTCTACATAGTGAGTTCCACACAGAGCTATATAGGAAAAACCTTGTCTCAAAGGGTAGCAAGTTGAAGTTGCTGGAAAGTAACAGCAATAATGTGGGCTCACTTACTTTAGAGTTTATTGGGCTGACCCCAGATGTCTTCAGTGATCTTTATTTGGCATTTGTTATACATCTCTCTGTCCTTTTAATGAAAACAGGGTATCTGAGTGCTTAGGTGAGAGAGAGAGAAAGAGCTTAAGGGATAAAAAGGTCATACCTCCTGCATACTGGACAACTGCCCACTGCCTTCTTAGATGGGAAGGCACTGACTCTGATTTGTAACAGAACAGCTGTCCTCAGCTGAAGCAGGAACTTGACTTTAAGTGCTTGGCTTTGCTGACAAACTCCAAGGTCCTTCCCAACATGATCATCCTACCCTGAAACCTGGAAGTCAGACTGGAACACCACCACACACATGCCTCTTTGACTGAGATTGGTCCGACTCTGGGTGTGTGTGTGTGCAATGGATTTATCGTGCATAAACATAGAGTCCCTGCTGTGAGCCTGCCAGTGAGGTGGATAGGGATCAAGACTGACACTAAGTACCTGATCTTCCGGTCTTTGAAGATGAGAAGTAAATTGCCTTCTCTTGTACAGATTTTATGGAAAGAACTCTTCCTATGCCCATGGGGGCTTGGATTCCAATGGGAAGCCAGCGGATGCAGTCTACGGGCAGAAGGTGGGTGCAGTGGGCCAGTAGTGGAAGAGGAGGTGGTAGTTTCCCTACCAGGTAGCTGGTTCCTTGGGAGGGTGACTCTTAATTCCTTGATTTGTTGAAATGCCTGTGTGTTGTCATATTAATTACATTTCTGTGTTAGATCGCTGGCTTCTGTATAGGAATGTCATTTCTGGTGTCCTGGCACCCTGGCTCTGGCGTCCTGGAACTCACTTTGTAGACCAGGCTGGCTTTGAATTCACTGAGATCCGCTTGCCTCTGCCTCACAAATGCTGGGGTTAAAAGTGTGTGTTACCACACTTGGTATTTTCTTTTTTGACACATAATTTTGATATACGTTTTTGGCTGTCCTGGAGCTTGCTATGAATGTTCAGGCCATGCTGCCTCAGCTTTTCAAGTGCTTGGATTATACATACGGCAGGACAGTTTTTTGTTTTTTTTTTTTTTTTTAAGAGGCTGAGCTGTGATCACTGGAACCAGAGCACACACAGATAGTTGGACTATATTATATAAACAGCAGTATATGCATTCTTTTTATCTGTGCTGTACTGGCAAATTTTTATTTTTTAAAGTTCTTTTAAGGATATATTTTTGGAAAAAAGGATATATTTTTGTTTTATGTGTATGAGTGTTTTGCCAACATACATGTCTGTGTACCATGTGCATGCCTAGGGCTTGAGGAGGCTAGGGAAGTGATTTGGGTTCCTGGAAACTGGAGTTGCAGGTGATTGAGTGAGCTGCCATGTGGGGGCAGGGAAGTGAACACAGGTCCTCTTTAAGAGCAGTAAGAGATTGTAACAAGCAGCTATCTCTCCTGCTCTGAGATGTTTGCATTTATTGATTTTTGGGTGAGTGTAACTGCCATGGCATGCATGCAGGGGTCAAAGGACACCTTTTCAGGAGCTCTCTGCTTTTGCCTTACAGATCCTAGAGATGACATGCTGATCATTAGGCCTCATCAACCTGGGATTATTTATTTTTATTTTTAACTGGGTGTCATGTAAATTTTACGGTGTTAATTGCACTCCTATGGAAGTCTCTGGTTTTGCTGTGTACTGTTCTCACTGCTGAGGCAAAACACCTGACAAGCATTTAGGCAGGAAGGACTATTGAGGCTCATGGTTGGAGGGTGTGGTCGGCCTATTAGAGACTCCTGGTTCAAGGGTGTGGTTGGTCCATCATAGTGGGGCTGTAGCAAGGGCACGAGGTAAGTGCTGGTACTCAGTTCCCATCCTCTTTTATACAGTACAGGGGCCTAGCCTGTGGAATGGTGCTGTTAGGATGGGTTTTCACACCACAATTAACCTAATCTAGAGACTCCTCACAGGCATGCCTGGAGGATTGTCTCCTAGGTGGTCCTAGCTACTGTCAAGCTCACTGAAGCCATGGAATGGGTTTTTTGCCCTTCAGTGTGCTTGTTAGGTTCCTTGTGATTGTTTTGAGACTCTGCTCAAGGAGTTTGCAGGAGGTAGGGCTGAGTGTCAAGGACCAGATCCAAAAGAACACATGGAGTTGGTGCTGGTAGCTGCTGATCTGCTGAATCCCTGGGGGTTTGACTCTTGCCTCCATTCCTCAGGAAATCCACAGGAAAGTGATGTCACAAAACTTCACCAACTGCCACACCAAGATCCGCCACGTGGATGCTCACGCCACTCTGAATGATGGGGTGGTGGTCCAAGTGATGGGGCTACTGTCCAACAACAACCAGGCTCTGCGCAGATTCATGCAGACCTTTGTCCTTGCTCCTGAGGTATGTTGGCTCTGTGGTGAGAGAGCATTTAGAGACAAAAAGCTGTGTGTAGTCTCTAGATTCCTGGCAGCCCAGTTGATTTGTTCTTGTGGCCTGGAACTCTATGGTGTCTTCATTGGCTCAGGGAGATCTGTTATTGGGGAGGGGGGGGTCCTCTTCCTTCTAAATAAACTATTTGAAATGGACACTTTGTGTCCATTCAGCTGACATTTCCTCTGGACAAGGAATTCTGTCCCATAACCATCCTGTTGTTACTACTCAGTATATCTCACTGAATAGTCATATTCAGGGGATATGCCATAGTAGTTTGTTTTTCTTGGTTCAAGATTCCATGTATAACTATTCCATTGTGTCTCTGGTTCCCTGTCATTTGTACCTTACTCTTTCGATTTGCTTGGCATTGATGGTTCTGAAGCACACAGTCACATGATAGCCACTCTTTATGTGTTTTTCTTCTAGTCATCTTTAATGGCCATGATGCCATTTAGTGGCTCTGGTTTCCCCAGGTAATGTGTACAGGTCTTGCCACCGAAGTCAGGTAGCTGTTGTATCTGGTGTGTAAGTTGTGACCAGTCCTTCGGTCCTGTATAGATGTGCTGCTCTTCATCAGAGTTTTGTATCTGTCCTTAGTCTTCATTGGAGGTTCTTGGCTGAGTGGAAGGATGACAGATGGGAATGTCTGGTCTCATCCACTACCCTGTATTCATTCATTGGCATTATCTTATAAAGAACACTCCTCCTTCATTCATGTATTTCTAGTATATTTAGTGTGTTATTTATTAACTGTTCAACATATCCCTTATGTCCTGGGCCGAGTCAGTGGAAACCCTTCATGCTGTCCTGTTCTGGTGTGGGCACAGGATGCTTTATGCCCTTGTGCCCTGGCCCCTTAAGCCCCATTGGGGAATTAGCTCGTTCCATTCATTCATGGTGGTTCTTTGTAGTTAGACTTCTGAAGGTTGCACAGGTGGGTGATGGATGCCATCTGTGCCTTCAGAGAGCTGGGGCAGGAAGCTGCATAAGTGTGGAGTCTGCTTATAAGGACTTGCTGAATAAGTGTTTTCTCCTGCATTCATCTAAAAAAATTCTATTTAGGTTAGTAAAATTACTATCCCTGTCCTTTAAAAGGATTTTTTTTTGGGGGGGTGGTTTAAGACAGAGTTTCTTTGTGTAGTTCTGGCTGTCCTGGAACTTGCTCTGTAGATCAAGCTGGCCTCGAACTCCCTTGCATTGCCTCCTAAGTGCTGGGATTAAAGGAGTGCACCACTTCCACCTGGCAGATGCTTTTGTTTTGTAGCTCAGACTGCCTTGAATATCACAGTGTTCCTCCTGCCTCAACCTATCAAGAGCTAGGATTACAGGTATGTACCACCATTGAGTGTGTAGTCAAGGTTTTTGAAGGAAGACTTACATTAGAGTGTCCATACTTGGCAGCCATGGTGGTATGTACATGTAATTCCAGTGTTGAAAACCTATTTTTTTTTTTTTTTATGTGTTTGTCTGCTTGCATGTAGTATTATGCAGTGGATCCCCATGTGGGTGCTGAAAATTGAGCCTGGGTGACCTGCAAAAGCAGCCAGTACTTTTAACCCCTGAGCCATCTTTCCAATCCAGCAGTCCCAGCTGTTGAGGAGCTGAGGCAGGAGGTTTGCTAGCTTGAGATCTGTCCACAGTAAACCAAGAGATGATATCTCAGAGGAGGAGGACTGATGACTAATCCCCATGGAGAGGATTTTACAGCCTATATTGCTCATTATACAGACTCCTCATAGTTCCTTTTTGTCTTTCAACGGGAGCTTTTCTCTCCCTTAAGAAAATATATTGAATAAACCACGTCAATACACAAATCACTATGGTATGTCCTGATATTTCACTTTTTGTGGTTGAGGGAACAACTTTAGAAATTAAACAGCCAATAAATGAGTTGATTGGCTTTGGGCTCAAGTATGTCTAAACCCACAGGAGAGATCTTTAGAGTATACTCCCATAACTAGTGGAATCATATTCTTAAATTTGAGTTAGGGTGTTTTACTTTCCTCAAGTGAAAAGTTGTTTTTGCATCCTGCGAAAGAGTTATGCTGACCTCTCTTTCTGCCCCCCTTTACCTCTCTCCCTTCCCTCTCTCTGTCATCCATCTGGTGGTAAGGATGAATATTTTAACAATATGTCCATGTGGTGCTTTACAACGGAGTAAAGAACACAGTAGGGCATTTGATCTTGGCACAGATGACATAGGCTGTCATGCGTGCTGTTGTCATTTAGCACTCTTTAGTCTTCCCTCAGTTATCAGAAGCCAACCTCTATAGGTTTCTAGATATTGCTAGATGTCTCCTGGGGGCAAAATTTCTCCTAGCTGAGAACTGCTCTTGTGTGTGATATGTGGGTTTTTGGGTTTTTTTTTTTTTTTTTTTTTGACTTTTCAGTGGGAATATGAGACAGCTGGCTACATGCATCAGAAACAGAAAGTAGAGAGATGAATGTTCATGGTTCTGTTTTTTATAAGTCTGAATAACTGAAAATTTGTTGCTGACATTTCAGGGCTCTGTTGCCAACAAGTTCTATGTTCACAACGACATCTTCAGATACCAAGATGAAGTCTTTGGTGGCTTTGTCACTGAACCTCAGGATGGTAAGTGTGAAGCCACAGTTACTTGTGTGGAATTTGTAAGTGGCAACAGGTTGACGTAGGGTATTTTTTTGTTAATTAATCTTACCAGAGCATGAGGATTCTCCTAGTTAATGTGAATGATTAGTTTCTCCTGGGTCAGAAGCAGGCCAGTTAAGTCTGGCTTGGTGTAGAACTCCATGCAGAGGGTCTGGCACAGCTGTGCTGCAGAGTGGTGGTGAAAGGTGTGAACTCTTCCTCCAGGAACCCCACTTTTGTAAAATGGGCAGGCAAGGTGCCTGCCTTTGCTCTGCAGGGAATGCTGTCCTGAAGTTTTGGTCTTTTGAGAGCGATGATGATGGCTGGAGGAAGGGCAGGGTAGAGTGTGCAAAGTCAAACCTGTGGAGAATAGTCTCCATAAGTAGAAGCCTGTTCAGTGCATCCCTCCATCCTTGTAGGTTAAGTAACTCAGCTAACAAGGTGGTGTGGCCTGCTGCAGAGGCATGGTCTAGATAAGTTGTGGTTTTTGCCCTTTTTTTTTGTCAGTTTATTGACCTTACTCTACAGTGTTCCTCACAAAGTCTGATATTCTTTCTGAGAAGAAATTTCACATCACTTGTTAGTGTTTGTAACTGCGCCCCTGGGAAAGGGGAGTCAGTCACTGGAGGGTATAGATTTGAGAGAGTCCCAGACCGTTTTCCTCTGGGGTGTAAGCCACCCTGATGAGAACCATGACCACAGCAGTGGGCAAGGACTGAATTCACATGCCATCTTGTTCTCTACTGTCAGTTTACTTGGCTGCATGAGTGCCTTCCAGGCTGGTTTTGTAATAAACACAGGTGCTTTGTTGATCAATCTTCATTCCTTTTGTGTACTTGATTTTCTCAGGTGAGACAGATGGGAAGCTGATGAGCCCAGTGCAGAGTGACTTCCCCTACCCCATCCCAGAATCCAGAATTCAGAACAATTACAAATCTTAGGGCAGACAGCTTAGTTAATACCAACTTTGGGTTAATACCAACTTTGGGAAGAAAGGTTTTTTTTTTTTTTTTTTGGCTCACAGTTTAAGGGGGACAAATCCATCATGGTGACAGGCAGATGAGTCATGTGGCAGGAGCAGGAAACTGGCTGGTCACATTGCATTAGCACAGGAAGCAGAAAGCCTTTTATTTTTAGAGTGTCTGTTCTTAATTAAAATGCTTAATTTTCCCTCAAAGTCTGTACCACAGTCTTTACCAAATTGCCCTGCTTTCTTTGCTGTGTTCCTTTGTGTCTACAGTAGAAACTGTAAGTTAAGGAACTTGTGGGCTTAATGTGATAGTTGTTATTTTACATATTTTTCTCTTAGAATCTGAGGAAGAAGTAGAAGAACCTGAAGAAAGACAGCAGACACCTGAGGTGGTGCCTGATGATTCTGGGGCTTTCTATGAGCAGACAGTCAGGTAAGGGAACTTCTCTTCACATGCCCAGGCTTGCAACAAGAAGTTGAATTGTGTTGGAGACAGATATGTCTTCTAAAGATTAATCTTAGGCAATGATCAGGGGCTGGGTGTCTAAATACATCAAGTCCTGGGTTTGATGCTCAGCACTGCCTAAGTCAGGTATGGAGACATGCCTGTAATCCGATGTTCCAGAGGCTGAGCAGAGAGGATTGCTGTGAGTTTCCTCATAGCCTAGAGGGGCTATGAGGAAAGCAATGGTAATTTTCTAGGAAAACATTTCAAAATTTTTGACTAGGTAGCAATATGCAGCTTGTTTATTTTTATAGCCTTTACTGTGAAAACTACTTAGATAATATTTATGAGTTTCTTTTTTGGTTCAGGTTACTAATTGTATCTTGGGAAAAGGAGTTCACTGTGTAGCTGAGACTACCCTGGAACTTTTAGGATTATTTGTTCCAGCCTTCCAGATGCTAGGATTGCAGGTGTGCACACAAGTATCAGAAGGATTTACTTAAGTAGATGAATAAAGTTTCAAAGCTGTAAGTTAAGCAGTAATGATCAGTTTCACAGTCCAGTACTGTGGCTCAGAGTAGGCTGGGTGGAGCAGGACATTTTGATTCCTGAGACATCATGATGGAAGGAGAGAGCTCTGACCTCCATGGGTATATCATGACACACATGGCCAGCCCCCCTCCTTATAATAAGTAAATGCAATAAAAATTTTAAGCTGAGACTTCTCAGCTGCGATAAGAGAGCACTTGCTGCTCTTGCAGAGATTTGAGTTCCCACCACCCACCCACATGGCGGCTTAGAACCTCTTTTAACTCCAGTTTCAGGGGTTCTGATGTGTTCTTCAGTATGTACATTCAGAAACATACAGAGATAAATGAAAAGACAAGTTTTGGGCTATGTGACAAAACCCTTCTTTAAAATTATTTTCTCATGGCCTCAAACAATGAGTATAATGTCTTTTTATTTATTTATTTATTTTTGGTCCTGCTCCTGGTGCAGAAATTTTTTTTGATGGGCCAAAATGTGTACTGTTGCTATGGATGTTCCACGTGTCAATAATTAGTACTGAAAGCTTTCAAAAGTTTACCAAGGTGTGGTCACACCTGTTCACTCTGGCTGAGAGTGAATGTGCTTTACCACAGACCTACTGAGGTCAGGTGCTGGCAGGAAAAACATGGCCAGGGACAGTGTTGTTGGCAACTGGTATAGAAATGTAACCATGGTTTTGAGGTGTGACTGATGTCTTCTCTCCCTGAATTCCTTGTGGGTTTTTTTTTTTTTTTTAAATTCATATGTATTTTATGGTGTTATGTATATGGGTGTTTTGTCTATATGTATGTCTGCAAAACAGAATAGGAAATCCGCTTACATTGTAGACAGTTGTGAGCTGCCATGTGAGTACTCGGAATTGAACTCAGGGCCTCAGGGAAAAACAGCCAGTGCTCTTAGCCACTGAGTCATCTCTTTAGCCATCTTGTATGTTTTTATCGGAGCTGTTCTGTGTGGCTAAAGCCACACAGTTGATAACACTGTCTTGGATTTTGAAATTGGCTGACCTCACTAGTCATGTTGGGCTTGAGCTAGGCCTCAGAGAATTTGACTTTTCTCCATTCAATACAATGCTTCTGTGATACATATAAAAAAGCTAATTAATAGTAATTGAATGAGTTGATTCTCTTTGATCCTTCTGATTGTATGTTCATCAGAATTTAGCAAACAGCTTTCTCTGGAGTAATTAGGTGGCTCTAAGTGTCTGGGTTCTCAAATTCTCCCATAACAGCAACGACTTGGAGGAGCATTTAGAGGAGCCTGTTGTGGAGCCAGAGCCGGAACCAGAGCCAGAGCCGGAACCGGAACCTGTGCCTGACATCCAGGAGGACAAGGCTGAGCCTGTGTTGGAGGAAGCTGCTCCCGAGGATGTGCAAAAGAGTGCTTCCCCGGCCCCAGCGGATGCTGCCCCAGCACAGGAGGACTTAAGGGTATGGGTTGTGGCTTAGCACTACGTTCCTGTTTTTGTTGTGCTGAAGATCAGTCCTAGGCCATGAGTAGATGTGCAGTGTCCTGGCGTTGGCTGTTACAGAGACTGCTGCTAGGGAGACTAATTCACATGTCTCCCAGCCTGGCCTCAAACTCCATACAGAGCTGATCTTTTGCTCCTGATCCTGATTGCTCTGTCCTGAACTGGGCTTGTAGTTATGTGCTACCGTGCCTGATTTATAAGGCTCTGGGAGCTAAACCCAGGACTTTGTGCAAGCTGCTAACAGAGCCACATTCCCCACTCTCTGCTAGTTTTGTTTTTTTTTTTTGGAGACAGGATTTCTCTGTGTAGCTCTGGCTATCCTAGAAGTTGCCCTGTAGGCCAGACTGGCTTTGAACTGAGAGATCCTCCTGCCTCTGCATCCTGAGTGCTGGGATTAAAGGTGTGCTCCTGGCCTTCTGCCAGTTTATTTTTAAAATCTCTTTTCTCCACCATAATTACTTGATTGACTTTGAGTTGGTCTCACTGTGTAGCCTAGATTAGCCTTTCTTAGTCTCCGAAGTATTGGGATTATAGGGGTGTACTGATATGCTTGGCTGCTTCCAAGACAGTTTTATAAGCTGTACTCAGTTTGTAAGCTGGCAGATGCTTGTAGACTCCGCTGCTTGTGATTGATGCAGAGGTATATGGGAAGCAGAAGTTAGTGACTATACTTAACTTCTCTGATGTGTCTTATCTTTCCTAGACGTTTTCTTGGGCGTCTGTCACTAGTAAGAACCTTCCTCCCAGTGGGGCTGTTCCAGTGACAGGGACACCACCCCATGTGGTAAAAGTGCCGCCTTCACAGGTAAGTGTCTGAATCTAGGACTTGGTGGATTTAACCACTTTGGAAGTGAGCATCAACAGGTGTAGAGAATGGGAGGTTGGTGTACAGGGAGGGAGAGAAGAGCAGGTAGGTGGTGGTGGTTCACTCATGGGTTCATTGAGGACCCAGCAGGGTGGTGAACTCTGCAGTAGCCAGAGTTGCACTTGGCCGGAAAGCAGGGTCTTCTTCATGTGAAGTTTTCTTTCTATGAGGGTGTGCATACACATGGGTCTGTGCATGCCTGTGGAGGCAAAGATGAACTTCCATGTTGTTCCTTGGGGCTGTGCACATTGGAAAAAAAAATTCTTTTTGAGGCAGGGTCTTTGTGGACCTGGAGCAAATTAGGTGAGGTTGGCTAGTCAGCCTCAGAGAGCTACCTATCTTCCTTGGAGCCAGAATTGCTGTTTTCTTGCTTAATTTTAAGAAACTAGACAAGGAGTGGGAGAGATGGCTTGGCTCTTAGGAGCATTTACTGCTCTTGGAGAGGACTGGGATTCAATTCCCAGCTCCCACATGGTGGCTTGCTGTTGTTTGTAACTCCAGTCTTAGGGGATCCAGTGTCCTCTTCTGACCTCTCTAGGTGGTGAGTGCACTTGGCGCGGAGAGACTTGTGGATTTCTCTGTATTGTTTTGGAGACTGTCTTGGAACTCACTCTGTAGACCAGGCTGACCTCAAATTCACAGAGATCCACCTGCTTTTGCTTCTGAGTTCTGAAACTTAGGTGGCATTTGTCACCACCATCTGGCAGGAACATGTAATTGTAATTTAATAAAATTATTTTTATTGTTCGGTATGGGTATTTTGCCTGAAAGTATGTTTGTATATCATGTACCTGTCTGCTGTCCTCGGAGACCAGAAGAGGGCATAGTGGTTCCTGGGACTGCAGTTATGGTTACGAGCAAGCAGGTGGGAACTGAACTTTGGTTCTTAGGAAGAGCTACCAGTGCTCTGAACTATGAACCATCACGTGGGTGGGTGGCTGGATTAATGGCTCAGCGGTTAAGAGCTCTTAATGCTCTTGCAGCTAGCTGATCTGGGTTCACAACCATCTGTAATTCAAATTCAGGGGGATCCAATGCTCTCTTCTGGCCTTCTCCAACACAGACTTACACAGAGTGCATAGAGAAGCATGCAAGCAAAACACTCATACACAAAAGATAAAAAAGAAAAAATGAAAAATAAATAACAAGGCTGGCGAGATGGCTTAGTGGGTAAAGGCACCTGCCACCAAGCCTCACAACCTGAGTTGGATATGTGGGACCCATTTGTATGTGTGTATGGCATGTGCATAGCATTTCTGTATTTACACATAATAAATGTAATTAATTTTTTTTAAAAGAAAAATACCAACAGATAAGCTACTTTGGCTCCCCACAAAGGGTAATCAGTAACTTTTTTTTTTTTTTTTTTTTTTTTTTTTTTTTTTTTTAAGCCCCGTCCAGAATCTAAGCCTGAATCTCAAATTCCACCACAAAGACCTCAGAGAGATCAGAGAGTTCGAGAGCAACGGATCAATATTCCTCCTCAGAGGGGACCCCGGCCAAGTAAGAGCTTTGGTGACCAGTCTGGCTTAGGGTGGTTTTGAGAGGTGACCTCTCGGTCTGGATGGTGTAGTGGAACACGACTTCATTCTGGGTGGAGGGAGACTTGTTTGTGAAGGGCCTCTAAGAGTCTTGTTTTGTCTCTGAAGTCCGTGAGGCTGGCGAACCAGGAGATGTGGAACCTAGAAGGATGGTGAGGCACCCTGACAGTCATCAGCTCTTCATCGGGAACCTGCCACATGAGGTTGACAAGTCGGAACTGAAGGATTTTTTCCAAAGTAGGTGCTGAATCTCTGTGTGGTTCTGATTTCCTAGACAGCGCCACATAGTGGAGGCACAGGTGTAATGTCAGGTCCTTAGTAACAAGGACAGCAGACTTAATGGTCTGCATAGTCCAGTTCTGGAATGAAACTTTGCTTCCACAAAATAACAGATGGCTTAACTGCCACTTCCCTTGAGCATGACACCAACTGTGAAATTCCACCCTGACCTCAGTGTCATGAGTTGTAGGCATGCTACAGCGTTGCTCGAAACTCCTTCACAGTGGTGAATAAGGAGCATTTAAGATGTAATGCATTGTCTTTTACACTTGGGTCTGCTCTCCAAGATCCAAAGCTCACAAACTGAAACCCTTAGATCTTGGTTAGTATAAGCATTCATCTAAGGGACATTTGAATTCTGCATTTTAATATGACATCTTGGAAATCATTTTAAATTCATTAGCACATATTTGCTTGATGTAAGCTGAATGTTGTAAAGCTGGGTGTCTCCAAAGAAGTTATGAGCTCTTTGCACTTACAGATTATGGGAACGTGGTGGAGCTGCGCATTAACAGTGGCGGGAAGTTGCCCAACTTCGGTTTTGTTGTGTTTGATGATTCTGAGCCTGTTCAGAAGGTCCTTAACAATAGGGTAAGCAGATTTGCATCTATCTGTGTGTGTGTGTGTGTTTTAAGGTTTATTTTTATTTTATCTGTGTGCGTTTTGACTGCATGTATGTGTGTGTGCCAGGTGTGTGCAGTGCCCTCAGCGAGAAAAGTGGGGATACATCCCCTGACATTGGAGTTACCTATTTTGATAACTGCCAGAGCTTCTGACCCTCTGCATTTCGCTGTGCTGAGAGATGTTTACTGCATTCACTTCGGTCTTTGTTTGTTTGTGGTTTTAGGACTGCCTCCTTAAGTATCACTTTCCAGCCAGGAGGCCATGTTCACATTCTTCCTTAAGTGCCTCACTTTCTCAATCCTAAGCTGCTAGCTAGTATTGGGAGTTTAAGGGTAGTTTTATAGTTTTACTTGAACAGTAGCAGTATTTTGTCCCAATATGAGAAGGTTTTTAACTACAAAGTTGTGGAGGCATCTTTATACCATTGTGTTTACCTGAAGTTTGCTTTAGTTATTAGTAAGTTACTCATGTTTCCGGGCTGTTTAAATTGGCTCTTTTCAACTTCCTGCACAGCTCGCCACATGTGCACGTATTAGTAACATGAGTTCAACAGAAGCAGGTTTGTAAGACTGGCTGATTGAAAGCTCCTTTGCTCCTTAGGGTAGCTTTGTTCACTTGTGATAGTCACGGTCAGGGGCCGGTCTCAGTGTCTGCTTTCCTTGTTCCTCACAGCCCATCATGTTCCGAGGCGCAGTCCGTCTGAACGTGGAGGAGAAGAAGACAAGAGCTGCTAGGGAAGGCGACCGCAGGGATAACCGCCTTCGGGGACCCGGAGGTCCCCGTGGTGGGCCGAGTGGTGGGATGAGAGGCCCTCCTCGAGGAGGCATGGTGCAGAAACCAGGCTTTGGTGTGGGCAGGGGGATTGCAACTCCAAGGCAGTGAATTACTTGGCCCAGATCTCCACACAGCACACAGCCCTGGCTCCTGCAGAATGGTGAATTCCTTCAACCAGCCTTTGGTGTCTTGGAGTAGTCTATTATAAACTGCTCGAGTTTGTACAATTTTAATTTCGCTTGTGTTCATGGTGTGTGCCCCCCACGCCCCCTTTCCTCCCCCTGACCTTTTAGTCCTTCACTTCCAGTTTTCCGGAACGATACTTTAGGAGGAGTAGGATTTTAAAGAAGAGGAGGGAGTCTCACCTTCCTGCTCACGCTGCAGATACAGACTGGAGTGTAACGGCCATTCCCCAAAGGAGCACGTCTCACTTCTCAGTGACAATGGATGTTTCATTTGTTGGGAGACACAGGATTTGATAAACATTTTGGAAGCAGGAAAAATCCATATTATCTGTCAAGAGTCACGACTCCTTTCTGGTGTGGAAAAATTGCCTTTTGGCAACTGCCACTGGGTTCCCGCTGGTGTGGCTAGCTGAATAAAAGGTGTTTCCAGAACTTTATTCTTTTGACATGTGATTACCAAACAGTTCCAAACCTCTGTTTTTACCATTGGATTTTAAATTGTGACATAGCCTGTCAATGTCTAGAACGCAGCTAAGGATTTCTGTTGAACTGTTAGTTTTTTTGAGGTAGAGTTTTTCATGTTTTATTTGTATTTGTAAAAAAAAAAAAAAAAAAAAAAAAAGAAAAAAAAAAGGACAAAAAAATCCCCGCAAGAAAACAACCCCCAAATCTGATAACAAAACCAAGCAAAACTGTGCCTTCTATTTATCTTTGATTCCGGTCCTGGCAATTGTTGAAAGAAAAGTAATAAAGATTCTAGATTTGTTTTCAGATTCAGAGTATGTGGGGGAACTGTAGAATTTTTTTGATCACGTGTATGTGTCGTGTTAACATTGTTCTGCCTTATCCTAAAATCACGCCTCAGACTGGACCGCTTTTGAGGAAGGTGCTTCTGTGAGGCCTCTGACCTCAGTGGCTGACAGCCACGTTCTACTCTGCTGTCTGTTGGGTTCCTGATGGGTCCCTCAGAAGGATTTGGCTTGAATCTCGGACTTGGCTAATGTGCTCCAGGGTCTGCATTTTTTTTTTCTTTAAATCATAGCCATATGGTAAATTTTCTATTTTGTTACGGTTCTCTTACTGATGGACATGCAGTGGGTGTTCTTGGAAAAGGCCAATTTTTATTAAAATATTTCTGGAAGAAAACTTCATTTGGCAATGTAGACTGCTAAAACTCACTTCACAGTGTTGTGTTGAGTGCTATGTGTGAAGTGGGTGAAGGTTTTGTTTATACAGCCTCGGTGTGTGGACAACCAAATTGTCAAGTCTAACTTTTCCTAATGTTATTTGTGTGCGTGTGCGCATGTGTCCGTGTGTGAGAGGGATGTGTGTGTGTTCACACATGGGTGTACCACAGTGTACTCATGGGAGTCAGAGGACAGATTGGGTGCCAGTCCTTATATATTCCACCCTGTTTGAGACAGTCTTATTTTTCCCTGCATATACCAGGCTAACTGTCCCATAAGCCACAGGCAGTCCAGGACTGCAGACATGTGCCAGGACTGGCTTTTCTGTGGATTCAGATCTTAATTTTTTTGGGGGGAGGGGGTTCGATACAATATTTCTCTGTATTGCTTTGGAGCTTGTCCTGGAACTAGCTCTGTAGACCAGGCTGGCCTGGAACTCACGGAGATCCACCTGCCTCTGCTTCCCGAGTGCTGGGAATAAAGGCATGCACCACCAATGCCGGCCGGCTTTCTTTCTTTCTTTCTTTTTTTTTTTTTTTTTTAAGATCTTCACACTTGAACATGCTAGTCATTCCCCAGCCCTCTAATGCTCATTTTGAATTTTGGTCATGGATAGGTAAGTTCTAGTTTTGTTGTCAGGCTAGTTTGGATGAAAAAGAGGTTTGGGCTTAGTACTTCACAGATCTGAGTATTGGTAGTATCTACAGGTGATGACTGGCTTAGGGTCAGTTTAAATATCTTCATTTGTTTCAGGTCAGTGAATATAGCAAAGTGATCAGCATGTACTTGTAAAGTGTTGGGTGGCACATTACTTTAATCCCAGTACTCACTTGTGTCTATGTGAGGCTAACCTGGTCTATGAAGCAAGTTCCATTCCAGGCAAGGCTGTGTAGTGTGACCTTGTCAAAAAACAAAAGGCAGCCAAAGAGAGAAGAAAGGTGCCCCAGACTACTTCTGGAAAACACCGAAGCAGTGCACATTGGCACAGGCCTATAGTCTCAGATAGTAGGCCATGGGCACAGGAAACTCTCAAGTTCAAAGCCAGCCTGGCCTATGTAATAAGGTCTGTCTCAGTAACTCGATAAATCTGAAAATGATTTTCACAGTTGAGTACCAAGTTCAATAGAAGTTCTCTCCAGCCAGCGGACTAACCCAAAGAGGTGATTGGCATTTAGCTCTGTAAGTTGAGGTCTCATGGGATCATAGCTCCTCCCCTCACATTCTTTGGAGGTACAGGGTACAGGGAATGTGATGGGGTTGGAAGATGGGAGGAAATGCTGTTCTCCAACCTCAGCACTGCACATGGGTGTGTTCCATGCCTTTGTGCATGTGTGTGTCTGAATTGCTTGTGACAGGTTAGGGAACTACTTGAGCCCCACTTCACAGCAGCGGGGTCGGGGTGGGGGTGCTTTGAAAGGGCATGGGCCTGACAGGACTTGGCAGCACAGTTGGCACTGAGAGTCTTGGTGTCAGTCTGTCAATATTGACACCACTTCAAGCCTAAACCTCAGCTTAGAGGTGTCCTTAGTCACCCAGAAAGCACAGGGTCTCTGTAAGTGGCTGACCCTCAGCCTTCTCAGATGAAATTAAGATTTGGTCTATAGGGATGACTGGTTCTGCATAGTTCTTTGCCATTGAGCAGGGTCTTAACCTGGAATTGTATTTTAGCCAAGTGAGTCCTAGTCTTTGATTTATGTGTACCTATGTGTGTGTGTGAATGCTTGCCATGTGTGTGCAGGTGCTTGGGAAAGTCAGAAGATGTTGATGATCCCCTGGAGTTGGAGTTACAGGTGAGTGGGCCCTCCTACATAGGTGCTGGGAACTGAACTCATGTCCTGGAAGAGCAGCAACATGTTCTTAGCCACTGAGCATCTCTCTCTCCAGCCCTGAGTCTCTGTTAGAAGTAAGTAAATTGTAACCCAAATGTCTTATTTGCTTTCATGGTGAGTGGTATTCTTGTGTTCTCCAATCTCAGCTGCTGCTGGGGAGCCAATGGGAGTTGGATAGTTCATATAAAGGCCAGTGGCACATACTTGTAGTCCTGGTGTGCAGGAGGCCAGGTGAGAGAGGTTTGAGTTCAAAATCAACCTTGATTACAAAGCATGAGCCTGTCTCAAAAAAAGAAAAAAAAATACAGGAAAAAAAAGTGAACCCATTTAATTTCATGTCTATTCTGGATTATGGTACAAGGGGAGATGGTGTGAAGCATTTGAATGAGCAGGCAGGGATTCTGGGCAGTGTCATCTGTATTTAGTAGGAGCCCATTTCCAGATGTGGACTGAGTGTTCTAGAGTGGGATTACCACTTCACAGACCTGAGTTGTGGCAATACTCAACCGTAGTGCCCTGTTCCTTTAGGAAAGTAAGCTCATTGACTGCCTTCTATAGAACTCCGCCTCCATCCCCCCCTCCCCACCCAGGGATGGATGCATTTACTATCTCAGCGAGCTGGTTTTTGTAAGGACGGTAGGGGAGGGTACAGGTGTGCAGTCTGTGTGGAAGCCAGAGGATAGATAACCTTTAGTGTTCCTCAGGAGTCATCCACCATGTTTTGTTTGTTTTGAGATGGTCTCACTATGTAGCTCTAGCTGTTCTGGAACTTGCTGTATAGACTAACCACCTCTTTAACTTGCAAACACCTTCCTCTGTCAGAGGTTGGGCCTGGGCCACACACTTGCAGTCTGAGTAGGTATATGGGGAGGCACCTACATTGAAGTCCCTAAGTAATGGCTGAGACAGTGGTACCACCACACCATGCTCTACCCTGTTTTTTGGGTTTTGAAATAAGTCTTCTCACTGAGACCTGTTGTTCTCACTAGGTTAGGTGGCCAGCCAGTGAGCTCGGGATCCTCCTGCCTGCCTCCCCAGTGCAGTGATTACAAATGTCTTTTGCAAATTGAACTCAGGACCTCATGCTTGTGTGGCAAGCACTTTACAGAATGAACAATCTCTTCAACCTTGCTAATGTGATGTTTTAAACTTGAAACTCAGCTGTCACTTTCTCTGAGGTCCTTTGGCATTCTATATTCAGTATGGTGGTGCTTTTAGTCCCCAGGGGCAGGGTTTTGGGTGGAAGCACCACCCTGTTGAGCTCCTGCCAGGTTATGTATGTGTCACTTGACTTGTGGGGTGAGGCTCCAGCATGTAGAGTGACAAGAGTCCAACTCCTGGACATGTTGAGCTCATAGCTTCCCATGCCTTCTCTTCCCTGAACATGTGCCTGTGTCTCCAGCCCCATCTCTCTCATCCCAGTTTTTGTTTTTTGTTTTTTTAAAGACAGGGTTTCTCTGTGGTTTTGGAGGCTGTCCTGGAACTAGCTCTTGTAGACCAAGCTGGTCTCAGACTCATAGAGATCCGCCTGCCTCTGCATCCTGAGTGCTGGGATTAAAGGCGTGTGTCACCAACGCCAGGCTTCATACCAGTTTTTGTCAAGACTCAGTTACTGTTCAGAGAGTAAGTGAACAAATTCACCCCCACCCCCATTTTGTTTTATCCCTGTTCGAAGTTAAGCAGTAGCTCATGATTCAGCCTGGAGTTGGAATTAGCTGTTTTACCACTGTTAAGTTCTTAGGGAACTGAGAACTGATGCTTAATTCCTGTATCCCACTGGGAGGCACCTACCTTGAAGTGTTGGCTGAGTCTGTGACTGGAGGTAGCCTTCAATCAATTTCAGATTGTGTGACATTTCAGTACAGGACATTCTTGGGAGACTGGGGGTGAGGGGCCATTCATGAGGAGGAAGTCCCTGGTCTAAGTATCCTTCCTGGATGTCCCTAGTCCATTTTAGGCATTGTCCCTGCAGAGCAAATGGTTTCTCACAAGCTCGCTTACTCATGCTCCACCCTGCTAGAAGTGAGTGGTTAGTTTCCCTTCTTGCTCCCCGCATCCAGTCTTCAGAAAAGTCTCATCATGCTACTCGACAGACTTGACACCACACTCCTCCAACCTCCATTTCACTGGTCTTCACCTCTTTAGACGAATCTTTCAGAAACAGCCCTGGCCTTGTGCCTCTGTCTCACCACCCCCAGAGACTGTAAGCCCTTGGCAGCAGGCTCTGTGAGTGAGTCACCTTTGTTAAACTCCAGTGGTGTCGACCAATAAATATACTTCATTAAACATATGTTCTTATTTCTGAATATGAAATTCTAGTGGAATGCTTCCCAGGTTACACACGGATTTTTCTCTGGGGGTAACTAGGATTTCAGAAGTTCTCACATATTGGTAAGTATAACAATTAAGAGTAGTTAACCACAGAAAATTTCAGAAAACTTTAATTTTTTTTCCATTTGAATTGGCATGGATATGTGTTTATGGATGGCTCAATAAATATACTTTTATATACAGCACATAAATTTTACATTCCATCTTAAAATTGCAGAAATAGATTTTTTAACAAGCTAAAATAACCTGAACCAAAACAAAGTAAAAATAACAAAACACAAAACAAAACAAAAAAAAGACCCAAAAAACAAAAAAACCCTGCCATAACTTTAATGACTTCATGCAAAAAAGGGAAGGGGCCAGAGGGAATTGCTAGTTCAAGGTTGAATGTCCAATGAGAAGTAAAAATAGTACATTAAGGAAGCGGTTGCTTAGCACGCTGCTTAAGGTGGGAGCCAGACAGATCCTTAACTGCAGCTTTAAGGCCATACCTAGTTTATACATATGTACAAAGAAGTTTCCATAGAAAACACATGGTCACATTCTCTTCTGGGAAAGGATGAGGAACTTCTGTGAGAGTAATTCAGACCCAATTTTCCAGGTCAATTAATCAGAGATGTCCCAGAACTGCTACTCAGCAATCTGCTTTGGCTATGTGGCTTGTGGAAACCTCTCCCATTGTGGGCGATCAAGTGCTTTACAGCTCAGCCCCACAGTGCCCAGCTAAGCAGGACTCTCACATCCTATCAACTTAGACAAATGTAGGCATCTTACCTCTAATGGACTCCTCATCCACACTGGCAC